CCATGAAGGTTCCCTAGAGAAATTTAAGAAGTGCTAATATTTGAAGCTAAAATTACCCAGATGTCAAGTTGTGTTCAGAAATTTGTGCCCAGACCAAAGAACAATCTCCCAGTACAATTCAAATTGTTATTTCCTTTTCTAATTGGAGAATATATTCAATTAAGTACTGTTGTGCAGCGTGCAGTTTTTACTTAATGCGATGATGGCGTTTGATATGGGTAACTATGAGTGTGGTGTATCTTTAGTGTCTATTTCCATCTCCTTTTACAGGTTCTTTTTTTTGAAACAGGTGGGGTGGGGGGTGCAGGATGTCCTATTGTCCATTGAAGCAAATATTTGACATATTCTGCAAGACAACTGTTTGTGTCTCTCACAAGATGACCTTTGTGAATTTGGAACTGATCAAAAACTGTTTTGTTGGACAGAACACTTGTTGAGCAACTGGCCCAAGTAAATCCTAATCACCTGAGCAGCAGTGAGAAGCTGGCTTTTTGGATCAACTTATATAATGCACTGATAATGCATGTGGGTTGCTCATTTTCTTTCTCCTAATAAGTTTCTTGTTGACATCCTTTTTTAGTTAGTCAGCTTGAATTTACTTCTGTGCCTTAGAATGTCTTTCAAACGGTATTATTGACTCTGCACTTCGGGCTTTCAACACCCCTTGAGCAAGCTTTCATACGCCGGGGAGTGGATGACTCTAAATATGGAGGGTCAATAATACTGCCCATTGTTAGATTCATTTATTTTGTCTAACGTGTATGGTCTCTATATAAGTACTCTCTGGACTATTGAGAAACAGAAAAAAAAAAAGAAGAATGGTGGGAATAGAGAAGGAAAAGTGAGAGGATACAAAGTCATTGTCTAAGAGGTTTGGGGGATGGAGTCGTTGACAAGCACTCCTAGGTGGTAAAGCCCAATGAAAATGTAAAACCAGAAACCGGTAGACTTGGTTTCTTAAGAAGTAGAATTTGGGGCAAAACTACATCTTATTGAAGTTGGAGAGGATGATGCATCCCCAATCAACCTCAAGTTATTCTAGCATCACTATTCCTATCACACAAGTGTCAATATGTCTGCCATTATTTAGTGTTCAAGAAAAAAGTAATGAATTTAACATATTTTGTCCTCTTAACTTTGAACAGGCTTACTTGGCATATGGAGTCCCAAAAAGTGACTTGAAGCTGTTTTCTTTGATGCAAAAGGTATGGTTTCTAACATTTGATGCTCAATTTTCCATGTTCTTTCAATGTGTTAAAATGTCACTCAGGCACATGATTGTGACTGTCCTCTGCCTATCTGGGTTGTCTCACCCATCTATAAGACCTGACAAGTAATGTGGAAGTTTTCCCTAGCTCTACATTTAGGCATCAATTGCATGGGTTGCTCCTAAATGCCAACTCTTTCTCGACTTTGTAGGCATATGCTACTCTTCTTGGGATTTTGGTACCTTGGTTGGGTTCCTGAGATGTATCATGAAGTTGATTTGTTGCTGATAGGATTTTATCTCTTATCATCTCTTTGGGTCTTGACGGTTAAAGAGATTGTAGGCCTTACATCATTATGAGAATTGGACTTTTATTTGTTTGTTCAAAGCAAGGGAGCCTGATATTATGTTAGTGGAGTCTCTTCTGGTCAATAAAAACACTGCTGTTGTTTATATCCTTGCACTTTTCATGCACCTCATGACATGTGCCTGACATGCCGAACCACAGAAAGGACACATATTGGGCACACCAGCATTTTTTCAGGAATAGATGGGTTCTAAAGTTAAAATATCCAAACTTTGGATTCAAAAAAGAAAAAGAAGGGCATGGCCACAAATTGCATGAGAATGAGGTTGCTATTTTTAAAGGTGAGAAGGGTGATGTAGTGGGGGCCCAATCAGAGGTGGGTTAGAGTCAAAGTCGACCTAAATTAATTGTATGACAATTTACCTGGACAAAAAGGAAGAACTGTTCTGGTTCCCTTTCATTATGGTGGACAAATTAGTTGGAGAAGCCATTGTTATGTTAGCATCTCATGACCTAAGCCACTGCATAAACTAAATCTAAATGAAAAAATACATACTTGTAATTGATAAATGTATGATTGCTCGTGCATTTGTGTTTAATACGTTGCTTTCAGGCAGCATACACAGTTGGAGGGCATTCTTTCAGTGCCGCTGTTATTGAATACGTAATTTTGAAGATGAAACCACCAGTCCATAGACCACAAATCGTATGAGCTTTACATTTGAATTTTTACTAAACTGTTTTAGTATATTTTTTTTGTTTTGTTTTGTCATTGTTCTGTACACTGGTTTGGGTTTTGATGGTTGTACTGTCAGGCTCTGCTTTTGGCACTGCACAAGCTAAAGGTGTCTGATGAGCAAAAAGATCTTGCTGTCAATTCCTTTGAACCGCTTGTAGTTTGCGCTCTAAGCTGTGGAATGTACTCGTCACCTGCGGTAACATATAAACTTCAATTTATATTTAGAAATACTTTTTATGATGCAAGTTTATACTTCTATGAACTAAATTACACTGCAGATAAGGATTTATACAGCTAAGAATGTGAAGGACGAGCTCCAGGAAGCTCAGCATGATTTTATTCGAGCTTCAGTAGGGGTTAGCAGCAAAGGGAAGCTTTTGGTACCAAAAATGATACACAGCTTTGCCAAAGGATTTGTAGATGATGAAAAGTTGGCTGTATGGATATCACATTACCTTCCATCCCAACAAGCTGCCTTTGTTGAAAAATGCATGTCGAAGAGGCGGCAAAGCATCCTCAGTTCCCGCAATTGTGGCATTGTTCCCTTTGATTCTCGATTCCGATACCTGTTTCTGCCTGAAAAAAGTTTACCTTGTTAATGCCTGGAGTTTGGCTGGGCAACATGTTTCAATTATCGCAAGGTCAAGCCACGTCGAATGCAATATGGGTTCAACGATTTCATGTCATCGTATTTAGCTCCAGAATGATGAGGGTCGAGGTGGTTTTGGTCTTGTGCTAGTTCTGGAGAGATTATGTATCTGTTGTATGCTGTACATTATTGTTCTAGAGTGAAGCCCCACAATGGCGGGAGTCTCGTGAAGGGTAGGCCCTTTAGTGAAAGATTAAACACAATGTTTTTGGACAACCTGAAGATCAATACATCAAGATCATGAAAACTGTCTGTTTTCACTAGTGTCGTGATTTGTATTGGATAAACCTTGGGATAGACGTTGGACTTGGATTTGTTCTCGGAATCCTTGGCTTTGAATGAGTACTCTAATGAGTAGCATCTTTTGCATTGAAGTTTGTAAGGGTTTGAATGAACCAAATCTGAGCGGAATACAATCTTGTTTGAATTCGACTCGTAGTTACAAATAATGCTCGGGATCAGTTTGAGTTCGTAACAACTTCCAAACATCTTGTTTTATATTGCTTATTAATGTTTGTTTTTTAAATTCTGACTCGGCTTCGTTTGGCTAATTAAACAAGTTGAGTTTGAACTTATGGTCAAGTTTGGAGTTTGGCTAATTTCGACCGGACCTGGTCCAAGTTGTCATCCATAAATAAGCCAGTTCCCAAGTCACTAAGCAACATCCAAGTAGCTCGGTCATAGTCAAGTTAGCTTAGATTCCATAACTATAAGAAGGGGAGAAGGTAAGGAAGCCCATACAACCATACTATTTTGGGCAACAAGGTACTTCGGGAATGTTTCATCACCGCTTTTAGAAAATCACGTGTCTTATAAATATGATTTGTCTCTAAGAAACACATATTTCTAGATAATTTCAATGGATTGAGGGGACCATGTAATCTTGAATAAGGACAAAAAACTTAATCTAATATAAATAGAATAAAATGTCCTACAAGAAAGGGATCAAATCTTTTGTAAACACTCTTTCTTCTCCGTCAACACTCTCCTTCTTTTCCATTAGGCATTAGGAATAGACGTAGGAGAAAGAGGCTCCATTGACACTAGACTAGTCTAATTATTCAGTTTGGTGAATCACTCATATCATTTTTTGTTTTATTTGTCTTTGCGATTGTTAACTCCTGTGTTTTTACTCCTATCACTATTCAACACTCAAATTCTTTTATCCCCCTCCTTATTTTTCACACCATCAAGTTCACAATTTGTGTTAGAGATCAAGGTTGACTTGTGTGTGTGTGCGTGCGTGTTTGTTCAGCTGATTAAAGAATCTTAGTTTTATTTATTTTACAAATGAATGAATATAAACTAGTTTTCATCTAAGTTGTTTACAAACACTTTGGTTTGATCGGGACTCCATTACTTGATACATTATTAAATTAATAAATTATATTAATTTTTTAAATACCAATAACGTCGCTCAAATAATTGTTCGGAATTTCATGTTCCACTCACTAGATGAGAAAGATAGTCTTCCAATGCCAAACATAAAGTGGCAAATGTAACTCAGCTGATCATGATTAACAAATGGCAACTGAAATGACTTTGTACCAGATAGGAGGTGGCAATTGAAATGACTTTCCTCCCTAAATATGTAATTATTAGAATTTTAAAATATTTAATTATCTCATTTTAATCAAATTATTTCATGTGTGCTTTGTAATACTCTCAACATTTTTTAAAATTATTTTAAATTTAAATTTTCAATCATTGTTTTTAACTATTTTAAATTTTAAAAAATATTATTCTAACACACTAATAGGCAATTATTCAAAAACATTAGGGTTAGGGAAGATTTGATGGTAAAGATGATTGTAAAGTGAGATTATAAATTATATGCATTACACGGGATGTGGACACTAATCTATATTTATATCTATATCTGTATTTTACCCTTAACATGAAAATTTTTTGAATCTTTATTTTATCTTTATAAAGGATTACAAAAATTATTCTATCTTTTCGTAATTTAATATTTAAATTACCATCATGTCTTTATGCCTTTAAGTCTCTAAATTATTTATAATATTTTTTTTAATTATTTAATTAGTTTCTATAAAATGTTTCGATTGATTATATTATCCTTAAAAAAATAAGCATTAGTATATTTTCAATAAAATGTTAAAAAATTCTTCAAAAATTTCATCAATCTAATATTACTTATTTCATATGAAGAGATAACATTATGTCTGCATATATATATATATATATATACTTTTTCATCGAAAAGTTTAACTTTTTAATTTTTTAAGACAAAAAATAATTGTGTATATATATATATATATAATATTAATTTATATTGCATTAGTATAATTCTTTAGTAACAATAAATTTTTAAGTTGTACTAAAATTTTATGTAAAAATTGATATTGTAGTATATTTTTTAGTAAAAATAATTTTTTTTAGAGTTTTAGTATGCTTAATAATATATATTATATAGTAGCATATTAAATTTTATTCCAATTAACATAATTAATTCCTAATTAATACCAATATGATTAGTATATTGATAATTAATTTTATATTATTTTATTCAAAGAATTATAAGTGAAATTCTAATCAAATGAATATAAAAAAATTTAATTTCTTAAATATCATTAAAAAATCTCAATCACAAAATTCTAAAAAGATAAAACTTTAATTATTTTTTTTATATGTATATTTATTTTTAATTATAACAAAAAATTTGAGAGCATACAAAATTTTCATAATTGTATAATAGAATATGAATAATAAAAAATTAAGTTCGATAAATTTGAAATGATATTTAATTCAAATAAATATATCAAATATATTTTATTAATTTTTGTATACATTAATTATTTATGTGGAACACACGTAATACAATAAATTCCACTTAAATTAATAAATTAGTGTAGCTGAACTTGAAAGCAAATGGAGACGATAACACTCCACTTTGTGCTTATGTGGTGAATGCAGGCGGTAGAATTTTTGACCTCTTCCCCTTTACCGGCGTTTTCGTGTCGGGAAAGTGACCGCCACCATTCACAACATCCTCAACACCACCGTCTTCCGTCACACTCACCGGATAATTGACCAGAAGAACACCTTCCATGTCTACTACTTCATCTCCGGCGTAAATTCTCCACATCTGATCTCCGATTGATCGGACTCTCTGCACACATTCCATACTCTGAGGCTCTCGGAACAATTCCTCGGCTCTTCCGGTGTGCTCATACCACAGTGACATACGGTACGAATGAACATCACCATTTCTGATTTTGTGTTCATCATTGTTTAACTGGTAGCATCCTATCGCAATTTCCGTGTCTCGCTGCCCGTCCATAGATCGCTGGTTCACGTTGGCCGATCCGATCAACATGTATAAGTCGTCCACTGAAGAACAAAAGACAATTTCGAATAAGGATTTTCAAAGGTATGGCCTTAGAACTAGTCCTCAGATTGAATTTTAGATGAGTAATCACTTAAACTATTCAATTTACTCGGGCTCTGTTTGGGTTAGTTTGTTCAAATTGCAAAAATGTATTAAATCTAATCAAATCCTTAATCTCATTATGCAAATAAGCAGAATCCAAACAATGTTTGATTCGATTCTAGTAGACTGGATTAATAGATTCATGTTTATAAATAATTCTAATTTTATCATCAAACAACCCTTATCTAAAAGATAAATATGATTTTTGGGAACTTTTAGTATTTGATTTGATGGATGATTTCACATGTCTGTATTTTAAGATTGATTATTAAGTTATATGGTTTAATTTATGGATATTTTTAAACCTAAACCCGGTTTTAGCTTGGCTCAATTATTTCCAAGCTTTTGTCGAGTCAAGTTTGATCTAAGCTCAACAGTGAAGCTCGTTTAGAGCTTGAGTTAGGCCAAAAACATCGGACTTGAATCTGAGCAAACTCAAACCTAACATACTCGATTCAATTAAGACCCCTAGTAATCAATGTGGTCAGTGAAGAACTGTGATCATACCTATCATGAGCTTAGAATGGACATAAACCATGAACCTCCTATGTTTCTGAGCATTCCAGTACTGAGTTTCAGGATGAGGAGAATATGGAGGAATAAACTCCTCTTTTCCCTCTGCTTCTCTGTTAGCAAGACAGAAAAAGTTCAAATAATCTCTTGGATGGCCAGGCTCACCGCTTTCTTGTAACGCTTCTCCTATAAATCTGTACATCATCTTCATTGTCTCCCTAGTCCAATGCAATATGTCTTGAACTGGTTCACTCTCTGGTACTCCTTCTGGCCACATTGGTATCAAAACATACACTGCAAACCTTTCCTTTGCTTTGATTTTGCTAGCAATTTTCAGGGCAATCTCGACGGGGATCAAGTTTCTGCAACCACTGTGCTGGTCTTCCTCCCACAAATGACACCCTCCAATGAAATATTGATTCTCTATGTATATAAATCTCTCGGCTCGCCTGATTGCTTCCACATAAGCTTCATGAATCGTTCGTTCGACTGTGAATTTTTTTGTAAAAGAGCTTGCTGATACATGGTCGATTGATCGGAAAACTTGAACCCTCCATTCTCTCTCAGTGGCAATGCTTGTAGGAGCAGGCTGGTGGGAGAGTTCTGTTATAGAGCTAAGGGGGACTAGCAAAGAAGGATGACATTGCTTTGTCCACCGTTGTTCAAAATTGGTCAATACATCCCAAGCAGCTTCTCCAGTAATACAAGCATGAACATCATGCCATGGCTCTCTTGGTCCACCTTTGTGAAGGCTAGCTCCTGCAAATTAATATTTGGGAATGTCAATTTTACCCATTAAAACGAATCAGACATGACAAGAACCCAAAAATACACTACTGGATTGAAACCCATACCTGCAACGCTTGTTTGATAGAAGTCAAGAACATGGGATTCAGTATTGAGTGTTCGAAACAAGGAGTGTTTCTCTGTATCATATCGGCCATCACAGAGATCTAACCCGCCAACAAAACTCATGATCTCTCTGCTGTTTGAAGATCTGCGAGTGTCTACAGTTATGGTTTTTTGGTGATGGGTGAAAAGGGTTGGAAATTTATGGTGTAATCTGGGGCACAATCTGCATATTACTTTGGTCTGTTTAAAATAAGCAGAGGCATCTTCATCACGAGTTCCCATAACTCCTTTGTTCTTGATGACTGGAAAGGATGTTTCATCGTCCCAAAGCATAATTCTTACAGCCACTCCTTCCTCTGCTTTCCTCTTCAACAATTCACCAAGCTTTACTCCTCGTGCATGTGGAATTTCTGTTTGAGGATCCCGGACCTGCCCAAAAGAATACTAGTCTTTTGAAGGGCTCTTAAAGAATGCGTGGTTTGATTTTGGCTCGTTCAGGTATGTTCAAATTACACATTTTGACATATTTTAGTAAGATATTGATTAATTTAGGATTGGTTATCAAGTTATTGGGATATGGAGCTTGAGTTTGGCTCCAATGTTCATAAGTTTTCATCGAGTAGAATTTGAATAAAAATCTAAACTTGAGTTCGGTCAACCAGTATCCCCAAGATGAGTTGAGCATATTCAAGTTCGACAACATGAAAAAGTAGGGCAGAAAAAGAAAACTATCTCAGGATGATGTTTTTCCACTCACCAGCACCATCTTAGGATTGAATGACCATCCTGCAATGTAGATCAAATACTTAGCACCCTCGAGGGCTCTGTAAACATCCTCCCACAATTTTCTTGGTGTCCCACAGAGATCAAATGGCGGTTGGAATGTAGAACAATGGTGAGCATCTTGATATAGTACAACACTACAATTTGATCTCTGTGGAAATGTAGCATTCTTCATCCCCTCGAATCCACCATTATCGAGTACTCTTCCCCATCCTGGTTCAAACTCCGCTGGCTTAAACCATAAAATGAATTGTAGTTTGAGTCTCGGATTTGGATTTGAATCTCGATTATCAGTGCAGAGTGGAAAGAACCCATTGATCAAACTTGATTCGTTCAATATTGCAAGAGCCTGGATGTTGATTTTCCCCAAAACCAAACATTTTGTCTTGAGGGAAATGGTGATTGTTGAGTTTGGTGGATGAGCACAGAGAATTTGAAAAGTTTGGTTCCAAACTCGATCTCCTTCGTAGCTTGTTTTCGCTACCTTTTGATTGTCTATTGCGATGGTCACGTAGGCAGCCTTTCCATTGGCAAATATACACTGCAAAACATAATCACAAAAGGGCAGATTTTGAGCTGCTTTAAAACCAAGATCGGTGTCGAATTTAATTTGGAGATTTAATTATAGAACAATTAGATTGGTCGTGTTTTTTTTAGCACTAAATGAAGTTTACTATCAATCTAGCATTACGTTTGTGAATTAGGTATGAATAACAATTTCATATTCGGTTTCTATCGTTTTTGTATCATTGTTCTGTACTCTGTGAACCAGAAATCACAAGACTACAAATTCTTTTTCTCTTACTAAAATTCATCGCATATAGGTCTTCCCTAGATTGAAAATTTTCTTGATTTACATTCTAGCAAAATTAAATCATAAAATATTTAGTTCTAGAACAATTCTAATGATACGAGAGCAATATATAACAAAAACTAAAGAAGATCATAAAATTATTTTGCAAGGGAAACACTTTGCATTCCAAATTTTGAATCCCAAATGAATAAAACCCTTGGATGAGTGGGTCTCGTTAAAAAAAAAAGAAGTCAATGGGACCTACTGACCAAATAGTTCCTAATGATTTTGGATACAATTTGGGATCCCAAGTATTGTTTTTCCTATAATATTAGTTAAACGTATTAGTCGTATTAAAATTAGATTATTTAGGGCTCGTTTAGTAACGTATACGATTTTTGATTTTCTAAAAAATGAAAAATAGAATCAAAAAGCGAAAAACATCATTTTCTCTTTTTTGAAAATCGCCCATCGTTTACAAAATGATGATAAAAAATAAAAAATAAAAATGGTTATTAAACGAGTTTTTTTTTCTTATTTTCTCTAAATATTAAAATAAAAACGAAAAACATAAACGTTACTAACGGAACTTTTAGCTTTGACAAAATTTTGACCCATTTATTACTAGTGTTAATCAGTAGTTTCAATTTTCAAATTCGAATGTGTCAAAAATCACCGCTAGTTCATTACAGGGACGAAGTGCAATCTAGATGGGAATGACCAAACAAGATGACGCCCAACCATTGCAGTGCAGTTAGCCTTGCAAAGACACTTACATTGGAGGGGAAAGAAGGTGTGTAAGGTGTGGCATGGAAGATGGTAGCTTCAAGTGTTCCATGGAGAAACTTGTGCTTGTTCTCCATCGCTCAAGCTCTTCAAACAAATTCTAAGTGGGCGTGAGAAAGAGAGAGAGACCGGAAGTGATAATTTTAAGTCACTCCGACAGTCTCTCCACACGCGGGTGTATAATTGCATTCAGCTAATCCTCCCTAATCTTGAATTCTCAAGAATCTCGTGTATTGAATTTTTCGGAAAAAACAGAAGGGGCGAGAGGGAAAGAGACTCTTGTTTGGCATCTAATGAAATGTGATAGACAATGGGCATATATACAGGACATCAGGTAGGGGATACTTGTAATGCAACCGAAAGGGTTGGCAGTTGGAAAAACTTGGGAAAATCTGCATTACTAATCTTAGAGGCAACCCTCAAGTCTGCTGTTAGTTTTTCCTTTAAGTTGAAGACTCTAAATATTGAATTTATTATAATTGTGAGTGACTTTAAATAGTTAACTGTTCGTACACTTAAGCAATACGTCGTTGGTTCCATCCACAACCTATCTCTCTACAATCACGTGGAAAGTGGAATATATTTTTTTATATAATTTGTCAAAACTCTAAGTGTATGTCACGTTTTAGGCTTTTAGTGGATAAATTAAGGAAGTTTGTTACTAGATTCAGAAGATACCTTTGATACAAGTTACCTATGATTGTAATGACGTAGGCCTTCTCCCAAATAATCGTTCGTCACCCAAAAAAAATTATTGTTATTTTCATCCTAACTATTCTAAACACTGTCTTTAAATTTGATAATTGATGGGACTCTTCTGAAAAGCCCTATGATGAAGACACGTGTCCTCGGGTTTTCTAGAACAATGTTACTCGGGTTCAAGCACCATCGGCAAAAGGCGTCCTCTCCCCCGAGGTACCTCTCATATAGGATCACATATTCGATACATTTTACAACAACACGTGTCCTCGGTCACCGTGTAGCTCGGAAACATACCGCCCTCGGTCCCCGAGGTGAGTCTTTCCTCGGTGCCGAGGGTCACTCCATCCTGGACGCTTCCTCTACTCCCGGATAAAGCTACTGACGTACGGGACATCAGCCTATGCCAGTCTAGACTATTCATCATAACCTCGTCTTAACATAAGTAATGTCAGAACACGCTGGAATACCGACGTCACAGCCAATAAGGGATGGACGCGTGGCAAATAATGTCACATCAGAAGCAGACAAACCGCATGCCGTCGCTGACACGCGACTTGGGAAAACAAACAAATTAATTGCACCCTTCTGTTGACGAGACCGCATTCAATGCGGTAAGGTTCGGATATGAAAGACAATAAATGCTCCTATTACAGAGCATTTATTGCATCCTTCCCGAAAGGAGCATATTGTACCGTCGGCGTCCCGACGGCTCAGAATTGATTGCTCGGGACCCCGAGCAATCAATTAGAGAAGACATTCCTCATCAAATCAATACACACGCTACCTGTGCCTGATGATCACCTGCTGACCACACTGACAGCAATCATGAGCTTCTAAGGTATAAATACTCCTCCCAAAAGGCAAAGCATGGATGCAATCACAAACTCACTACTACAAAATATCCTTATCAGTGTTTTCTCCTTCCTCTCTCTCATTCAAAGACTGACTAGACCGTCGGAGGGGATACGCCGAAAAACACTCCGGCGCCCTTCTAACTTGTTCTCCTTTGTTCCAGGAGATACCTTTCACACGTACAGGATCGTTCTTCCTTTCCCAGGATCTTCCTTTGCCGTTCCAGGTTGCCACCGTTCCTTGTAGGCTGTTTCAAGCAGTGTGTTTGGCCACTCAACCGGCTCACTCAAAGTTCACCAGGGGAGAGAGCTGTTCCCAATATTTTTTATATTGTGCAGGATCTTACACGCACAATCTGGCGCCGTCTGTTCCCAATTATTGTTATTTTCATCCTAACTATTCTAAACACTGTCTTTAAATTTGATAATATAATGAACAAATTTAGATTTAATCTTTACGGGGGATTTCTCGTATAATATTTCAGATACTAGCAACTTGACTTGCACTCAAAGGAAGACTTTGGACTCTTGGACTAAACAACATGTCATAGAAAAGGGTTAGAAAGAATGTCGGAGGTGTCTTTGACGTTTTTCCTCTCATGTTAAAGTCAATTTTTGACGAGGAAGATTAAGAAAAAATATTTCTTACAATGGTACTATTACGTCAGTATTGTCATATGATATCACTAACTAATAATATGCAGATTCAAACACCATACGTCGTGCAATCATTACTCTTTTAATGGAACGAAGCAACATATATTATATTATTCACTCCGTTCTTAAATATTTGTAATTTTATATAATTTTTTTTGTTTCATAATATCTGTCGTTTAATGAAATCAAAACATAATTAATATTTTTTCTTTCAAATTTATCCTTAACTTTTCAATGCATTAGATTAGGTGGAGGCTAAGTGTCTTTCATATTCTTTTTTTTCTCAATACGTATTAAATAAGGGTAATTTAGTCTTGTGCAAATATTTTTTACTCATATTAGAACTATTTAATAGCTTCCTTAATCTATGTGAAAAAATTTTAAACGATAAATATTTAGAAGCGGAGGGAATATTTGATTACTCTACCGATCACGTCCCTTCATAATCTTAGTGGATTCGACCAATAAACTAATGAATCTACTTAAGAAATGGGTTAACAAGAACTAACGAAACAACACACATCCCGACAAAATGGGTTAACAAGGTTGGATCAAATGCTAGGAATATACGGTTTGGTTGGCCCCCTTAATAGTCTTTGGGAGAGGGAGGTGCAAGAAGACAATGGCTCATTTAAACTAATTTTCTTTTGTGAAGTGACATTGATTTTAAACTTATAATTGGAAATAGATTCAGATCTTTCGATACATATTTTCTTAATTTTCATTAATAGTAGACCATGTTATGGGTCATACTTGAAATTTAAATGAGTAGAATTCTGTTTTGACATAAAATATAAAATTCTAAGTGATGATACACAAAATAGTCTCGTGCAAGATCAACAGTCGAGTGTGTGATGGGTGCAATTAATGGACAATTAATAAAGCAATCAATAACAGTAATATAAATATTGAATTAACACACAAATATATAATAGTTTGGTCTGGATGATCTACTCCACTCTGAAAAACAATAACGGTAGTCAGGGGTCTTTATTGATGAAGTAAGGTGAACGGGAAAAAAACATTGATTAGTTCCGGGAGAGATACAATAACTAGAAGAGATAAAGTGTATTGAGAAATGTAAAGGTGTAGAGTGGTGCAGTGAGATGCCTCTCTCAATGGAGAGAGCTTACAATTTATAGGCATTGTGAGGCGGTGATGTGAGAGTAAATGCACTAGCTTTTCGGGGAAGATAGTTATAAAAGGTAAGTACAATTAAATATAACCTTGATTTTTTAGAGTAAGTATCTCAATAATTGTTTCTCATGTGCTTTAATTCTTCTTGGACTCCTTGGAACTTGGGCTAGGTCGAATTTGCGAACTGGGCTCGACCTGCATTTTAGTTGACTTGGACTTACTAGATTTATTGGGTCTGCCCTAGTTAGATTTGGGCTCGCCACTAAGAATATTCAATATATTGACCCATGATATTTTAGATTTCCTAAAAAAGTGTCACGTGACAGAAATTAAACAAAGACATGAGATGATTAATCACAATCACATTTGAAAAGACATAATCGATTGAAAATTACTATCAAATAAACGTCGATAGAGATGGCTATAAAAAGGGCACTCAGTGTAGAAAGGCGGACACATTCAAACCCTCAAAAAAACTACGATCTGAACATTATTAAGAGAAATTTTAAATTAGTTTAAAAATGAAGATTATTTTCATTTAGTCTTTTGTAACCGAAGTATTTTTGATTGAATTAATAAAATAATTGTCTTTTATTAATACTTTTTTCTCTGTTTTAAATTTCACCTTGAGAATCTCTATTGTTTTCATCCAAGAAAATTCTATTTGAACTCATTCCAAACAAGAAATTTTCGTTTTGACCCCGGGGAAAAAAATTAAAAATTCTCCCATATGAAAAGTTGATGCATCTTTTCAGGTCGTCGATCACCTTTTAGCTTATATTTATTTATTGTCATGTGGGTTAGTTTATCTACTCCAGGGCAATAATTGCATACATCTAAGTGTCGTTGCCTCAATGAAGACGCTCTGTGTCCTCCCATGGACCCCAATCACTGCCAGTCTTCCACCAATTATGATAAGAACTTAAAAAATCTACAGTTGATGACGAAGGTTATCATGCCGACATTAAAAGTTATTTGGGTTTTTTTATTTTGTATTATAAAAGATATCTCGATTTCTACTTTATACCAATTTTTTTTTTTTTTTCACATTACAATCTCAATATCATAAATTGGTTTCAATACGACCCTTGCACCGATATCCATTTCAAATTCTGTTAAAAATTGATGAACATATCGTTTGGATAGTATGTGTATCAATTTTTAAGAAATTTGAAACAAATATTAGTCTGATGGTCATAATGTAATCAATTTGTACCATTCAGGATGTAATGTGGAAAAAATAATATTTCAGTGTGTAAAGTGAAAATCGATATATTTTGTAAGGTGCAAAGTGCGAAACGTCTTTACAATTTTTGAAAGTTAAGTTAAACATTTGATTGGATAGAGTTAGTTTCTGCGTAGATGATCTGTTTTTAATCAAATAAGAGAAAAAATTAATAGAAGTGTGTGTAAGCTAATTTGAATACCTTTTAATGTTGAACTAAAAAAAATTAAATATTTTAACAATAAAGTTACGATTAATTACAGGTATTTATGATCACATTTGTGAATAGTCATAAATAACCACGATACGATCGACAATTGTAACATGATCAAATAAATATACACAATATACCTTAAATTTAATTATATATAATTTAAATACTACACAAATTCAATAATTTAATAATTTAATAATTTAAACTTAATTATTAGCCTTTTTTTTTGACCTCCATTCAAGTTTTCGTAATCAAAGATTATAATTTTTTTTTTTGCGCTGTTTTTAAAATGCATTTGACAGCTTTTTTCTGGGAGCTACCAACAAGCCACGTGGTAGCAGCGACCGGCCTCGTTGGTATCTCGCCGTCTTTACATAATCGCCGTCCCCACGACGCTTGGTGTGGTCTTATACCCATCCAAAGCCCATTGGGTTAGTTGAATATGTCGGTTCTCCACACAACCTCTATCCTGTGTCTACTGTCCATCACTCCCTATGAACCCCCATCAATCTAAACCCTCTATCATCATATTCAGTAGAGCAATTTAGTCGGATTTTAATAGAACGTTTGATAGGAATGATAGAAAATTAGAAAAATGAAAAATTGATGAGAAAAAATTTCCATCCCTAGAGATAAAGAATATATTTTCCGTCATTTATGTTTGGTATGATGGATGAAAAACTGAAGGAATGTATTTTCTTTTGTTTAGTATTGGATGAAAAATTGAATGAAAAATAAAAATATATATGTCAAATTTACCACTTAATTTGCCGATATAATTAATCATTATTATTAATTTAATTATGGGTCTCAATATTTATTATGGTTTATTATCTATTCAATGATTGTAATTGATTAAATCAACAAATTAAATCAATATTTTAAATTCAAATTATATTTTCCTATCCATTATGCCTTAAAGATGGACATAACTATTACCAAGATTCTCAATTTACATTTTTAAATATTAAAAGTATTATAATGTGATCAAAAGTCAATTCATTGACACTGACGAAAAAAATAAACGGAAGAGTCGTATTATAACACCTTTGATACATTAAAAATACAATATTAAAAATTTAATCTTTAAAAGCGTAAAATGAGAATTTTAAATCTTTTTACGATGTAAAGTGCATTTTCACCCTTAAATTTCTACTCAACTTCCAAAAAAATCAACAATTTTATCTTAATCTTAGCAATACGCCTGTTAAGTCGATGCTGGTAGGGCAAAGAGCAAAAGTAAGTTTGGGATTCCAACGCCACATTTTTTTTCCAATTTTTTTGATTCATTATAATGAAGAAAAATTCACGTATATAAAATGAATTTAATTTGAATTTATTATAAAGACTAGTAAATAAAATAGAATAAAATTAACAATGAATGAATAGATACCTTCCCCTATAAATTGTATTTTATTTATAAAATTTGATTATTTTTTTGAAATCAGACTATGAGGGAAATTTATGAGAAATAATTAATCATAACCCGTCAATTTTGCATTAATTTCAAATCATATTTTTGTATTGTGTCAAAAATTATCGCCCTAACATTTATTGACGACGCAAACGACAATAATAGAAATTGACTGAAATTAGGAAAATTCAGAACTTAAGAAATACAAAGCCTAACTGATCATCAACGCCAATAGGCCTCACCTGAGCTGTAACGTACAGAATCACTACCCCTCTCTTTAAATACACCGCATTTTTCTTTTTCTTTCTTCTTATTCTCTCTTATTCGAGCACCAAAAAGGCGAAAGGGGATTCTTTCGGTCCCAATTCACCAGAAACTCGCCGGAAAATGACGACGTACGGCACAATTCCGACCTCATCATCAGGAGGCACAAACCTCGAATACCTTTCCCGCGCAAAAGAAAGACTCAAATCTGGCCTAAGCACTCGTCGGCCATGGAAGGAGATGTTCAATATCCGATCAATCAACCTTCCGTCGAGCTTCCGCGACGCAATCGGACGGATCAGAACAAACATAGGGTACTTCAGCATGAACTACGCCATCATAGTGCTAATAATTCTGTTTCTGAGTCTTCTTTGGCACCCGATCTCTATGATTGTGTTTATTGTCTTGATGGCCGTTTGGTTGTTCTTGTATTTTCTTCGTGATGAGCCGTTGATGATTTTCGGCCGTACGATCGGTGATCGTGTGGTGCTGATTGTGTTGTCGGTTGTCACAATCGTTTTGCTGCTGCTGACTCGCGCTACGTTGAACATACTGGTGTCGCTGTTGGTTGGAGTAGTGGTGGTGCTGATTCATGCGGCGTTGAGGAAGACTGATGACTTGTTCTTGGATGAAGAGGCCGCTGGGACTGGTGGCTTGTTATCCACTGCTTCTCCTTCTTAGAAGGTACTGTTTCATTTCATCAATTGAACCTTGTACCTTGTTTGTTTCGTAATGTTCACTTAGTTTTAATGTTTTTTTTTGGCTTTAATTTCCCCAATTGTTTCTGTATCATTGTTATGATCTTTCTTGTTATTAATCTTGAATTTGTTAGTTTTGTACTTTTTCTAATGCAATTGAGTTGCTTATAAGCTTAAATAAGGGTCCTTTCTTCTAGTGGTGTTGCAATGAAGAGAAATTAATGTGCTATTGGATTGTAAATAGTAAACCCCCCTTCTCTCTCTCTCTCTCTCTCAGGATTGTTTCCAAACGGTTTTTGTTTGTAAAGAGAAAATTTCATTGATTCGAGTTATTTTAGAATATTTCAATATGGTTCACCAATGTTTTCGAATGTTTTGAACTGGTTCATATGGTTTGGTTCAATATATTTCGATTAATTTTTTATTTTTTATACGTTTTTTTTAATATTTTGGAAATATTTTTATTTCATAGTTGACAAACATTTTGATCCTTCTTTTATCTCCCCCCTTTTCGGCCTGCTTTGTTTCTCATTGCAAAGAAAAGGTTAAGCTACTACTACAGAACTCAGCAAATGTGTGTTTATTCTGCCATCAATGCTTTATCTTTCTCTCTCACCATTGGGTGCTAACGGGGGATTCGAAAGTAGCACATGGTCCGTTTGGTAGGAGCATGAAAAATTGAAAAGATGAAAAATTAGAAGAATAGAAAATTAAAAAAATATATTTTTCTAATTATGTTTATGTTTGGTATGGTGGATGAAAAATTGAAATAATTTATTTTTCTTTGTTTGGTATTGGATGGAAAGGAAAAATATATATATCAAATTTACTATTATACCCTCTGTGAGAGGTGAATTTTTTTTCTTCTAATTATTTTTTCTCTATAATTTACTAATTGAGTTAAAGTATAAACACACGATCAAAAGTTAAAAAAAAAGAGGTGCGGGTCTGTCACCCTTTTCTCTCTTGCCCTCAAAACTCCCTTTCTCTCTCCTAGGGTTTCACAGCTTCTAGATCCCATGGGAAATCAAACCTCATCATTTTACTATTACTTCTGCACTACTCACAATGCAAGCTTCCTCGTCTCTTTCGCTCCTTCATTCATCGTGTAGTCCTTACCCTCGTTCATACACGATTTTTCGACCAGTGGATTCTCAGACGATGCGATTGACGATGGGTCTCCATTGAAAGAAGAAGAAGAAGAAGATGCCCTTTAGTAACCTCTATGCTTTGATTTTGTGGGTCTTCTTATACTTCATCACTTCATTTTTTTTTTTTTTTGGGAATTTCCTCAAAAACAGAGAGATTTGTTCAAGGTTTGTTAATGTCGATTTAGATGATAAAAGTGGAATATCTGGCATATGGCACCTCTGTTGCGTTGCTTTGTCCAAGTCATCGTCGATTTCTGAGAGAATTACTGGCTGTGATTTAGAGTTATAAAGAGGTGATTTGGTAGTGGTTTGCTTGCTTGTTTGGTTTCGTCGTCGTTGTGTACAGGTGAATGGATTTGGTTTGCTACAAAAGGGTAAAGTAGTCAATTCTCAAAAGATGTCATCTCCCTCCACTTTTTCAGTCCATTTTCCGCCCAAAAATGGGGGGAAGGATATTGGCGGGCGGCGGGGAATCTTTCTCCCCTCCACTTTCCATTCCCTCCCACTTTCCTTCCAAACCAAACAATGGAAAACAACTCCCTCCCTCCCACTTTCCTTCCTCCATTTTCTATCCTCCCTATTTTCCCTCGGGGTAAAAGACGTAATCTTTTAATGTCACCACAGATGAGATGAAAGAAAAAAAAATGGTATGAAGGGTGGGCCTGGAACAATCAATACATGTTCCATAAAGCCATTGACAGCTGCAGGTAGAGTCATGGCAACAACCATGCCAAATGATGGCAGGGAGACAATTACCATATCCAAAAAAAAAAATGAATTTAATTTAAAAATCTTATCAGAAGACTTAATTAACTGTATAATTATTATATTTAAAGTGAGTTTGATCTGATATTAAAACTCACGTCAATAATTACATTAAATTAGGTGTTCGTGGTGGTAGAGGCCAACACTCTACTATGGCTCATCATTGGCGATTTTAATGAAATCCTGGACCCCAATGATAAGCTGGGTGGATTACCATTAAAGCAGTAATAGGGTAGTTGAGTACAAGGACTGTATGGATCACTGTAACATGTTAGACCTGGGATTCACAGGGGCTCATTTTACCTGGACAAATGCCAGAGGGGCCAACGGACTTATCATGGAAAGACTAGATAGGGCTTGGAGTAACCCTGAGTGGCTTGTATTTTTCCCACAACAAATATTTGCCACATGACTAGAACTGACTCAAACCATTACTGTTGCCAAAAAGGGTTTGGAGAGAATTGGGAATTCCAGAATCAGTGCTTCCTTCATGGACCTATACCCTTTTCTCCTTGCTTCTCTTCAACTGCATATCCAAGGCCGATTCCAATTATGCCAATTTACCATGGAAAATCCTTTTCCCTTGTACTTGTGCTAGCCTCTGCCAAACCAGGAATAAGAGAGTTTTAGAGGTGAGATCCTTACTGGCCAACAATTTGCCAAACAAACCACAACCACGATTAACCAGGCCCTTGAAGTCTGAGGCATTGGTAGAATGGAAGCCCCCGCCAGTTGGCTGGGTGAAATTAAATACAGATGCGGCAGCCCTGGGGAATAGCAGGGGCTAGTGGTGTGTGCAAAGACTGTAGGCGTATGCTCTGGGGTTTTTTGAGCAAACTTGGAACCGCTACTAGTCTTGCTACTGAGCTTTGGTCTCTCAAACAAGGGTTATTCAAAGATTATGATCAACGTGGACGCACAGCTGGTGATGGACCTCTTGATGAAACCAACTTCTGAAGACCATGCTCACAGTCCAATTCTTGCTGATTGCAGATGAATGATGGCGAGATTCTTGGAGGTGCAAGCTCGTCAGGAAGTAAGGGAAACAAATAAAGTTGCGTAAATTTTAGCTAAAAAGGGGGCAATAGCCAATGAAGACTTGTTTGTTTTTTTGGACCCTATGAAATGTATTATAACCAGCTTTAGGCTGATATGATGGGTGTGATACCCAAGACTCTTATGTTCTAATTAATTATGGTATGCTATGCTCCACTTTTCACCCAAAAAAACATAATAATAACTCACAAAATTTGTAAAACTTGATCATACGGCACCAATTTTTTTCAATACTATAGTCTTCTCTAGATAGAAGTCAACAATTTACCATCAAAGTGGCTCCAATAGCATCAACTTTTGCTAATCCGCACGAGTAACCCTCTAGTCAATGACAAGTCTAGATATAAACTATAAATTTGAACATTCTAAAAAATTTGATTTCTATATGCATCTTTTGGGTTTAATTGGTATCGATTATTAATGAGTAATTGCAAGTATCTGCTACTTACTTTGTTGGGTGAATTCAACGTTGACTTGTATTGACATAATTTTCTCATCACGAGAGAAAGAAACTAATCTTTTTGAAGGAGGAGGAATGCTATCGCTGATAAAATTCATTACCATTGCTTTCACTGCCACTAAAGCACTAATAGTGAACTAAGAGCAGATAAATTGATTCACAAAAAATATTATTGTTGATGAATGGTATATGCATATTTCATACCCTATTTGTACTAGCAAAGGATTGAAGCAGTAATGGTGGAACTTGGTAATTTCTATAAATGGGATTGAGGTTAAATCCTAGAAGATGGAAATGGATTGATGGATTATTTTGAATGAGAATTGCCAAAAATACAAAAAGCTAAATAAATGGGAAATCTTTCTGCTTTGAATAGGCATGTCAATGGATCGGACTATAATCCAAAACCAAATCCTACTGGCTAGATATGAATTGATATTTTTCTTATCGACAATCTGAACCTGAATTCGATATCTTATATTTCACGGATTCGGATTTAGATATACCTATATCTAACTCGATTGTGATTCGATTTGAATTATATATATATATATATATATAAGAAATTAGTGATTGTTTAAAAAAATTAGATACAATTTGTTAAATTTTAGTTAATTAATTTATTTGGGTCGGGTTTCGTCTGTTATCGAATTCGAATATGGACTAAAAAAAATAAAATCCAACGGATTGGATTCGGATCAGGCTTTTAAAAATCAAATTTGAATTCGAATCAATCAAAATCCGATTTGAACCCGATCCATTAATAGGCTTAACTATGAGCATGGTGTTTTTGATAAATTGAAACAATTGGAGGAAGAAAAGAGGGAGGGGGGGGGGAGGGGGGATGGTGAAAAATTCATTACAACGATGGTTTCACTTGACAATGTTGACCTCATATCACTAACCAAAATAATATCAAAGTAAATAAGTAAATGAGTCCCACTAAAATTAATAACCAACCCTCAATGCAAGCAAATAACTACTCATTTTTCTTCATGTAAACAAATAACTATTCAAGTAGGGTTCACCTCACTCATTTGATATTTTATTATTAGTTGATAATATTACGTCAATATCTTATTACATTCAATATTTACTCGATAGTAAGGGCTTACCGAGTTGGGTTCACCCTGTGGAATGAGAGGTGTCCATTGATAGGAGTTGGAATGGTAGTAGTTCATTGACTGGAGTGACAAACGAAGTGTGGGTTGAGGAGGGTTTTGTTTTTCTCTCTAATTTTATCTTTTAAAATTTAAATAATCAACAATGGACCAAATTTTAATCAATTTTGACCAATTAATTTAAGGGTAAAGTATTTTTTTTCTTTAAATTGTTAATAACGACTACTTGTGTTTTTCGGTAGGGGTCTAATGGTCATTTACCAAATAGGAAGGGTTTAATTTGTATTTTTATTTTTATTTTTTTTAAAATATTTGGTTTGACTCGTTTGAGGGATGTAGTGTAGTTTTGTCTGCCTTTGAGCTCAGATATTTGAAGATTTAGTCATATTGATAGTCCTGCTGAATCTATTTTCTAATTTTTTTCAAAATTTTCTTTTCTTTTTTTTTAAATTATCTTTAATTTCATCCTGCAAATGAATCGGATCACGATCCTACCATTAGGACCATCTTTCTGGGCCTTATCAGGGTCAAAAATCAGACCCATGCCCTTACACGTTCACGGTTCACCTAACAAGGTGTACATGAGTAGCTACATGTGACTGGCCCGGACCAATCCATGTAACAGTGGGTTGACAGGCTAGCGGAGTAGCCCATGGGCTGTGGGCCATTTTCTAAGGCTTTTGTTAATTAGTAGGGAGTTGATATTTTAGTAAATCTTACTCATGCCCAAAAAATAAAATAATAATAATAATTATTACACCTCCTCCAACTATAGATATTTAATTTGATGCTGCACCAACTCCACTCAACAAAGTCTTATCTCAACGTTTTAGGGTTGGCTACATGTATTCTATTTTGCCAATTATATTTATTTTTTGGTTTAATGATCAGGAATGTTCGAATTAGTTTACGTGTATATTGATTAATCTCCTGTCTAATCCGATCAAAGACACTAATACACGTCAACACTAGAATATTCATGAAAGATAAATCTCTCATAATTTAACCCAAGTTATTAAAATTTTAACTCAAAATATTTAAATTTACAGTTCATCTATATTATCACTTGAACTATTATTGAGATTTGTGATAAACTCAAAGTCGTAATTTAGGGGCTAAACTGTAATTTCCCCTTTTAATAAAGGGTTGAAGAGTTCCTTGATTGCAAAATCATTTATGAGAACATTTTCCACCAGGAAATTACAATAATTCAAAACCCCCCCCCCCCCCCCCCCACGCTACAGTCCTTGCTCTCCTCCCAACCCATCTGTCTACCACCGCCGACCACCGACTTTCCGCCGTGAATCCTGAGTAGTACACGGCGAACAGACTGATGGCACTTCACCCGCCGTACGATCCGTACTATATCCAGCAACCGGAGTACGTGTTCGCCAAGGACACCGAGAACACGATCAACACACTCTTCGTAGCGGGCTTACCGGACGATGTCAAAGCCCGTGAGATTCACAATCTATTTTGCCGCCGTCCAGGCTTCGACTATTGCCAGCTCAAGTACACCGGTCGCGGCAATCAGGTCTTTGTCCCATTTTCTATCTCGTTTTCCCTAGAAAAATCTATTGTCCTTTCCCGTTTGGTTGCCGAGAAACGGAGGGAACCACAATGAAAAACCTAATTCAATGACAGTTGAAAAATTTAAGGCCTTTTAAGAGCATTTGTTTTTCCTTTTCTTTCCTATGTTCTTCGGCAGACTAGGGCAGTAAAACTATGAACTGTGCTCGCAAATATCTATAATCTATTCAGTTTTGAAGTATTTTTCGCTTGTATGGAGGATAGTTTAGCGGCTACAAGTCTCGGATTGCAATGTGATGGCTGGAGTTTGAAGTAGGACGTTCTTGATACTGCATTTTGCTAGTTTTGGTGGTTTAATTGCTTGTTGACATCTGATTAGATATAGTCTTCTGTTCTTGATTGCTGATTGTCCTAGATGTGTGTCATTGTGCTCGATAACATCTGATTAGATGTAGTATTCTGTTCTTGTTTGCTGTTTATCCTATATGTATGTCATTGTGCTTGAATGTATATTCCAGTACTTTTAGTCATGTTAGACAGATTGGGTTGTGTCATTAGATAGCAGATCTTAGAAGAAGACAATATTTGAGACTCTAATTTTGTATTTGATTATGTTGTCCCTGTTCCTCTACATATGTCACATTCTTGAGTGCATGTATCCCATCAACCTTTTTAGTCAAAATTAAGGTGCTTGTGTAGTGTAATGTGAATTATAATTGACAAATCACCAACTAAATATATATTCTCCGGTTTGTTGCAAATGAACATATTGAATTGAAACTAAAAACAGAAGTTTATGTATTATGTTATCTTACACCACAAATGTGAATGGAGTTCAATAGTATTTGGCACAAGGTACTTTCTAAATACTTGGTGGGCAGAGAGTGGTTGGAAGAAACAGGATCATATTCCTTTTTAAAGTTTCACAAAGATTTGCAACTTCTTAAGGTTTGTTCTGAGTTGGAGAGTCTCTTAATTGATGTTCAACAGGATTAGTTTTGTTCAACCATCTTGCTTATTCTCTGTTAAACAGCCTTATGAGCTTGTGTAGCTAATGTTATTTTCTCATTTTTCCCACTCTCATGCTAAGCAAAGTCTTTGAAGCTTACTTCTTTTCAGAAAATTCTAGGGCTGATAACACCTCGGAGGTTTTTGCAGGTTGTTGCATTTGCTATCTTTGTAAATCATCAATCAGCAATGGCAGCTATGCATGCATTAAATGTGAGTTGTTATTTTTTTATAGGACTTTTAATGTGAGCTTTTTTTGTGAAATTATATCTATTGCTTTTAATTCTTCTTCTGCCTAGATATTGTAAATTGTTGGTATATATACATGTGATGTAATTGCACTAACTGAATACAAGAACCTTTTCTGCTTCTTTCAATTTCCTTGCATTCTAGCTGGGGAGGCTTTCCCTACACTTGGAGGGGGTATAAGGAGTTTGCAGCTGGTCTTTCTTAAAAGTGACATGGCTTGGTTCAGAAAAAAAATCAATTGACTTTGCTGCAGTCTTTCTTGATGCATTCGTGAAGGATTTGTTATGCAATAACTTATTCTTTTAATTAAGCAACTTAATATGAATTTCTGGATAAAGAATGTCTGGTTTCCAAGGAAATTGAAATATCATTTTTTTCTCCATTTCAATAGTTCAGCAAGTACACATGACTATCAAAGGAAATTATCAAGAAAGGATGATATTTTAGCCTAAATAAACACATGATGGAACAGCTGCTATGCAGAAAAAAAATATTATTCAAGCAACATGGAGGGAAATTAATATGGAGGCTAAGGGACATAAGTTTTGGGACTTAGGCTTTGGCATAAAAAGCTCTAGGTTTCTCAAAGTGTTCTAAACTATAGTGGGTATGTGCTAAGCAAAGGTAGCAGGAAGGAATGAGGGGGAAGAGGGAAGCATTGTGTGTTGGAAAGGGAAGTTGAAGGGAAAAGAAGCAGGGCCTGCAATTACACCACCCTTCCCCCCGCCCCCCCCCCCCCCCCCCCAAAAAAAAAAAAAACACACCCAAACACCAAAAGGCCTACCATTTCTTTTTTCCCATATGTGAGCAGAAAGGAAGGTGGCTTCTTTTATTTTTGCACTTTTAATTTCACCTCTCTGTTCGCATTTAAAATAGGCAACATCCCTTGTTTTTGCTTTTGTTCTTGCTAAACTAAACAAAAGAAGGGAAAGATAGCTTTCGTTTGTCGAAGAGTACCTTTTTTTCGACTCTGCCACCACCAATTTTTCATTAGTCATACCAAATAGAGCACTATGTGGCTACTAACTACCTAGATTGAGGTCCAGTAGAGTTCTTTTTTTTGATGTACACACTCAAAGGACATGCATATTTTGAACATACTTTATCCAACATCATATTTCAATCGCACAAGTCTAAGAAGATCAACAAGCTCAGGTCTAAGCACCACCTCCAAAAGGGCCTAACCAGGTCCAGTAGATTTCAAGCTAAAGAAGTTGAGCTTTATATGAATGTGGAGAATAATTGTATTCATATGATGGTGTTTTACAGGGTGTAACATTTGACCCTCAAACTGGATCCACTTTGCATATTGAATTGGCCAGATCAAACTCAACAAGATTACGTAAACCGGGTATGCCATTAGACGAATATTGATCCATAAAGTGATTCTAACTTTTTGCTGGACAAGTGCTATTAATCTCTAATCTCCATTTTACTTTGTTGAGATGGCTAACAAATATTGTTTGTTGGTGACAGGAGATGGAGCTTATGTTGTTATTGATAGAAGGACTAAAGCTTCTACCGATGCCCACAATACATCAAGTGATGATGGTAACATATTGTGTAAATTATGATTCACCAAAATATGAGTGCCAAAGTTGTTCATTCCACTTCACTTGGTAGACCATTCCCTTTCAATCCCTGCTACCCCCCCCCCCCCAAAAAAAAAAAAAAAAACCAAAATAAAACCAAGTATATCTACATGGTTCCAATACATCTGTAAAAGTGTGTATATATTAGTATATATATCTCTATCAATAAAAGGTTATGTTCTAGTATATGGAATTGTATAGCCAGTTGCATGCAGTATCTCTGTTATCATGTGGCTTTTTTTCTTTGAGAATTGCTTATACAGTCTAAATAGCACTAGAGGCAAGCGCTGCACCTAAACTCGATTGTATGACTAACTGTCACATGTTGGTATTTTTTGCATATTCAGGAGAAAATGAAACTGATGATCCCTCGGGCCCAAATGTCACTGATTCTGTCAACAAGGATGATTCAGAGATCGCAAAAAGGTTGAAACTTAGAAATCATAATGATTCTTCCGCTTACTCTAAATTTAAGATTGTAAATTGTTCAATTGATGACAACTTGAATTTCAGATAATTTTTTAAGCTCTTGCATGTAGCAATCCTTGAGGTTCTCTAAATATGTTTTGTCTCATAATGGTCAGTGGCGAGGCAGTGATTCATACTGACAGTGCTGTCGCTGCGGAAAATGTAAGTGAAATTTATAGTGTAGTTGTGTTAAACATGTTTGTTATACTTCGTGAGTAGTGACCAGCATTTGCTGGGCTGGGATGCTTCTGCCACTTTAACAATATCTGCCAACATCATCCAGAAGCATGAGCTTGTTCCTAGTGAAAGCAATCAGATACTTGTAGGGATTGTGCTTTTTTTTTTATTTGAACTATTAATATAAGAGCCACCTGTAACTTAGCTCTTACTGTTTGATTCGATGTTCCAGGATCAGACAGAAAAGACAGACATTGAAGGTGCTCAACATTGTTCTACTTTATTTATTGCAAATCTAGGTCCGAGTTGCACTGAAGATGAACTGAAGCAAGTTCTTTCCCAGTAAGTTACCCCAGAAAGTCCCAATTCAGAACTTTTCTTTTGTTGATATTTCCTTTTTTTCTCTGGATATTTTTTTTTCTCTCTGTAAATATTGCTGTCTCTGGTCTGTTCTGATAACTTGTATTACTTGTGCCAGATACCCTGGATTTAATGCACTCAAGGTGCGTGCTAGAAGTGGAATGCCGGTAGCATTTGCTGACTTTGAGGTATCACATGCCACCACTGAAGTAATCGAATGTAGACCTTAATTTTGTCAATGTTGTATGACCACCAGTATCTTATCTTCTGTAATGGGAAATATTTGAAATTAGGGTGTCAATATGCCCAATTAGGTGATTAAAACTACTATATGCATGGAAATATGTGATTATTCGCGCGTCTTGATTTCTGGACGCAATTGAATCTTTGAGTTTCAAATTATTGAGCTTAGGACCAAATCCTTCCTCATATCCGGTCAAGCAAAAGGTTTCCCAGTTGAAGTGGAAGTTCTGACTTGGAATTTGTCAGTGTCTTGACGTCAAACTGTTGGATGGTAACCTGAGAATGATGCCCTATCATAAGATAGGAATTGTACAATGATTATAAGGTTTTAACTGCTTGTTTCCTTTTTGGCAGGAGGTTGAACAGGCAAACGAGGCCAAGAATGCACTTCAGGGAAGCTCGTTGCCATCATCAGACCGGGGTGGCATGCACATAGAGTATCCTCTCTCAATACTTTCTGTTCTGCTGCTTTAGAGTTTACTTGATATTATACGGTGCAGCCAAGTGATATTCATATTCTCCGCTGGTGCTCTTCAGGTATGCAAGGTCTAAAATGAGGAAACCCTAGAAGAAATCTGGGGCAAAGTGGCAGGACCGAAGACCTTTCGGCAATTCCTTATTTCAACTGAATCCATCTCCCCCCCCCCCCCCCCTTCTCTCCTCTCGCTCTCTCTTTTTAGGAAACAGGAATGAGAAAATTACTGGTTCAGTGTTGTAATTCGCTCATCGACGTGTAGGAAATTTCGCCACCGTTCATTTTTGCAAAGACGACGAGCAAGATTAAAAAATTGCAGGGGCTTTCAATTCGGGCAAAATCATGTGTTTGTTGGTAGGCCAAGGAAATATGAGAAACCTGGTTAATTACTTATCAAATGCTGGAAAACTAAAATCTCTTTATCCATCCAATGTATTTGGTACAGCATTCGGCACTTATACTACAAAATCTGCATAAATGTAAACAATGGAAGTGAATTTCCCTTCCAATTGGCTATTCTCACCGAATTTTTGTTTGATTTTGTAGAGGATTTGCATGCGGGTATGTACGAAGCCAAATTAAATATTTACATCAGTTATTTTTGGGTAAATTACATTTGCATTCCTTGAACTATCCCTATTTCTTCAATTTGTCCTCAATTATTAAATTTTTTATATTGCACTCTTAACTATGTGATTAGCTTCATATTGTCCAAGTTATTAACGTTTGTTATATATATTTAACAAAAAATTATTTCATTTTATTTTTTGAACTATGTAAATTTTGTTCACTTTACTTTGACTTGTATGTGATTCTCGTCCGGAAAAATAACAACACGTTTGTGATTGGGGGCCTTGGGGCAATGAGAAACAAAAGTGTTGGTTTAAGATATGCGAGAAATTTCATAATTGAGGGGGTGAATTGTAATTTACCCATTGTATTTGCATTTCTTCATAATTTTTCTAGTTGGAAATTTGAACCAACAGAAAATACTGAAGTCTTGAAGAAGAAGGGATGTCCAAAGAACAATAAAAGTGAAGGGAATAACAAGCCAATTGTCTACTTGATCTAATGAGAAAACATATATATTCATCAAATTTGTAACCTTGCAACTTGCTTTCGGACTTTCAGTTCATTCTGAGTAAGTAACAAAATATTACTTGCCTACTACCCTGGCCTTTACACAAAGAGACGAAACCTACATCGCATTGGACAAAACTGAAGCTAATAAGAGTAACAGATGAAAAATTACATCTTCGTCATATCGTGCATACAGTTGATTGCAGGGAGCTCTTCACAAAATATCCTCACAGGACGTCCTCTTGGTTTTATCCCTTTCCCAGAAACTAGGCCTTTCGGTGTTGTCGAGGGAGAGCTTCCCGCTAAAACCTTCCAATGGTTCATTCAGTAGTGGACCACTATGCGGCTGTTTTTGCTGCTGATCTGACCAGATCCTACCACTCCGGCTGCCTACTGATCCAGGGGTTGACATGTGATTTAAGTCCATGATCAAGTCGCCCTCGAGTATGCGCAGCACCTATCACCAAAACAGTCCACAATTGAGCAAATTCGTAGCCAAAATTTTGTAACGACAACGCCCATGAGGAGACCCAGCGGCAGAATTGCTGTAAGATGTTAACATCCTACTGGGATCTGCTTCATAGGAAAACTTCATGACAAATTTTCTATTTATCAGGTGTTTAACAGATATACCCTTGCATCTCAACTACGTAACTTAAAATATTGATGAAAGGCAACTCATTGGGCTGGACACTGTTAACACATTTGTAAGGTCCAAACACAAATGTAGCAGACCTAGTTGAACCTCTCCCGTGATGAGATACCCGGGTACTTGCACCTAAATTTAACATTCGAATTTTTTTTAAAAAAAAATTTGAATATAACTCTTACCTGCGACATGCGGGGCCTGGAATGAGGATCTCGCCTAATACACAAGGATGCAGCGTGCAACATGCAATAGACCTCAAGTTCTGAATAGTGGTTTCCTAGCCGAGGGTCAACCAATTCATCGATGACACAATCTTCCAATAATGGACGAGCCTGTTTCAAATCAAAAGACAACAACATTAATAACCACAGGTTGGAGAGTTCAAGCTGGAGTAGTTGGACATGTTTCAACCTTTCCCGCTGATTTAAGCAAATGGTTGTATCACAGTAATTGCAGGGGCATTACTACATGAACTTCAAGGGATCATTAGTATTTTCTAAAACATACCCATTCTGTGAGGAACTGCTGGCCCTTGGGCCGGTTAAGATCCACTGCTTTCCGTCCAGTGACCAGCTCCACCAATACCACACCAAAAGAATAAACGTCGGCTTTTTCGGTGATCTGGCCGCTTTGAGCATATTCTGGAGCTAAATATCTAATATAAGCAGAATAAGTGAGTTGATTCCATATTTTGCACGGCGGTAGTCCAATCTAGAAGCAAAATGCAAATGCATTAGACCTACCCGAATGTTCCAATTACTCTTGTTTCCACTCCCGTGTCTCCATCAGGTTGCCACCTTGCCAGGCCAAAGTCTCCAACCTTGCAAACAAGACATGGAGTTGATTTCCCTTACAGGCATGCACCATAAAATACAGAAAAAGCAACTTCCTTAAATGCACCCAAGCAACTACATCTTCATTTTCATAAGACATAAGTTAAGATTTAACACTTGCACTTTGTACAAGGTCTCATGCATATAAAATTTTCCAAAGAATAAAAGAAAGAAGTAATTTTACCAGAGTTATTTTTTATTACACTAATTTCTTTGCTATGAACAAAAATTTTCCCACCTCAACAGCTTGGTAGAGGAAGAGAAAGCCAAGTACTGGACTGTTGTGGGTTGATGGAGGGTTGGACCAATCAAAACTCATTTTTAATTGAGAATATCCATAATACTAGTAGCTTGATTCTTAAGTTTTTTTTTATCCATAATATTAGTAGCCTAATTCTTAAATTTAATCATAAAAAAACCACTCCTTCGCAAAAAGAAACAATTTTTGGAATATGCAAATTTGAAGAGAAGCCCAAGTATTCGTACACAAATTGACAAAAAAGGACAAGGGAAAAAAGGTAATCTAATAAAGGTGGGAGAATGCAACCCCGTAGCCACATATCAACAAGATCTACAATTTTCCACTGTAGATGGTTAGAAAAAAGCCATACTAGAGGTTCAAAATCATGGGTGATGAGAATGTTATTTGGCCGCATATCACGGTGTACAATGCAGCCCACTCTGCATTCTTCATGTAAATATCGCAGCCCTCGAGCAGCTCCAACAGCAATTTTTTGGCGTGCAGACCACGCCAATGGATCAAGATGAGGCCCTGAAAGTACCCAAATCCTTGTTAATATTCCAACAGTTAGCAGTGGCAAAAAAAAATTCTTAAGTGAAAAAAATTGGTTAAAACTCTTCACATAGGATGTGGATGACCTATAGCCAAATAGAGTACTAGCATTTCTCCATGCCTCAAGAAAATTGTGTGCCAAAAGTCTCAATGCTTCAGTCCACCTAAAACCATGTTTAACCGAATGGAAGAACAGAATAGCTTGTGGGTTGCCAATTTCAACTTATTAAAGCAAGACAAAACAAGTACCCCTTTCAAACTAAACTGACGTTTCACTTAATAACAAGAGCGTTTCTCAAGCAGCCCTCATAAAGACATTCAACCCCTTCACATGCCAAAGTTCTAAATATCCGTTTCTGACAAAATCTATTTAAAAATCCTGCTTGCAATGCCGTGATACTGCTATACAACTACAAGCATTAATTGATTATGAATACAAAGCACAAGCAAATAATAAAGCATTATCCAATTATCACCACGAGTAGTGCACTAGCAGTGTCTTGAGGTGAGACAAAAGAAATTACCATAAAGATGAGAATCCAACGACCCATTGCATATATATTCATAAACTAGTAACCTCCGTCCATCCTCAATGCAGAAGCCAATCAACATAACAACATTTCGGTGCTGAGCACAGCTCAAGACTTCCACTTCAGAGCAAAATTCTTGATCCCCCTGAGAACTTGCTAGTTTGTGTTGCTTGACGGCGACAGCCTGTCCATCTGGGAGGACTCCCCTGTGGACAGATCCATACCCTCCTTCGGCCAAGAAATTTGCCTGTGAAAATCCTCCTGTAGCAAGCTCCAGCTCAGCATACGTGAACCATCTTGGAGGTTTTCCGAATACAGGTGCCTTGTGCTGACATATTGAGCACAAGGGAGGGGGGCCAAGAGGGGCATTTCGGGATAACGAAATCGCTTCTCTCACATTTCCGCTGAATTCCAGATTGGGCCTATAGTTCGGCATTCCAAATCCAGCGTCCCGATCAAATTTAGGGAACTTCTCTAGCAAGGACTTTGTTGTAGAATTTTGAACCCGGTTCTTAGATCTTTGTGATCTTCCATCCATAGTTTGTCCTGTTTGGCAATGAGAATTGACAATGTCTGCCATCCACGGTTGGAATCCAAAGCCTGAGGAAGACGGAGATAAGTCTCCACTGTCTGTGTCTGAGCTAGACTCACCACAATCCTGGTCTTCTTTTGTAGCCAACAGTTCCTCTTTCTTGAAGTCTCCATTTAATTGAGGGATGAGAAATGGTGAAGTTCCTGGATCGGAGCTCGAAACTGATGAAGTTCCAGCTTCTGTTGCTGTAAATGGCTCAGGACTACTAGTTGGAGTAACAACTGGTCCTCGCATGGAACTCAAAGAAGCACTTTTGCTTTCTTCTTGTTTCTCAGATGACTGATCAACAGGTAACGGACATGCTGCTTCAGGCTCTTTTTTAGGCGATCCAACTAAGTTTAGACGGAGAACTTTTGGTTGGGATCGCTTCATAACTACGATATTGCACTGCAGCTCATCCAAGCACCGTTTTTCCTCATGCTTGAGCTGTCTGCAAGAGATGCCAACAAAGATCTCACCAATAAATCGACACAATGTTATGAAACAGAACTAGCAAAATTTGAACCATTGTGATTTCATAACTCCAGCGAATGACTAAGAGATTACTTATCCAATACAACCCAATTAGCTTGAGTTCTCTTGGCCTCTGCAGCCACGGCTCCACATGGTGATCCAGAAACAATTTTTATCTTCACATTTATCTGCGTACCAGAATAAGACACGAGAGCACATAAGCAATCAGAAGGGGAATACGCCACCAAGCATTGACATAAGTTGAGGAAAACTAACCTTATTAGGATCATAAACGTCATGGAGCTGGAGGATCATTTGCGAGCAGGAATCTGTGATATCTGATTTCTGTTCTGAACTTGTCCCTGAATGAGATCTCCGGTGGCCACTGGCACAGTCTCCTGCAAATCTTGGGAAACCCCATAATTTTCTACCTGGATAAGAGGGCAAAAACAATTGTCAGTAATACAGATGCCAAAAGGGGACGCAGGAAATGTAATTAATGACCGCAAGTTGTATGGCTCTTCACAGCTAGGGAAGTCAGGAAGGGATAGAGCATCATAATGGCAGAGGAGACTCTTGGACAAAATCCCAGTATAAATGTTAAAGAATTCAGACACTATGAAGGCATTCAACCATGGCCCAACGGCCTACCAGGGAACACTAAGTAATCCTCCAAAAGATCAGACTATACAAAATGCACATTTACTTTTCCCCAAAGCAAGCAGGAAGAGAACAAGAAAATGATGAGAATTCTAACAACAGGCCAGACATATAAAGTATTGGAAAGGCCAAGTTAAGAGAACAAATCAACAAGAAATTATACAGTATTACTTAATTCGCCAAAAAAGAGGAATTATAAGAGAAGAAGGCGGCCCTGAGTTACCGGCACTTTGCGAAGGAACCACCACAAGCAATGTGATGCAAACCCCAGGTTGAACAACATGAGTCAAAGCCCACACCAAAGCTGTCCGAGGAATTTCCTTCGACGCCTTAACGGCGACAACCACCTTCTCGGCAGCATCAGAGCCCTTGTCCTGCTTCACTTTCTTTAATTCTCGACTCATTAGCCCAGAAAACTACTTCCCAAACTATATCTTCAAAGCTTCAACAAACCCAACCCTCAAAACCCATCAGAACCTATATTATATCCTTCCAAACACACCACAACCCTGCAGACCGAAAAAGCATATATAGATGTCTACTTGAAACACCAGCAAAAAAACATTACATGCATTATTGTGCGTTCTGTCCCCACCAGAATGATGATTCTCATGCATATAACGCCGACATGCTCACTGTTCTATCACAATAATTGACAGACCGACTCGCTCCAACGACAAGACCTTTTTAGCCAACGATTCAGAACCAATTTTTCAGAAATAAGCGTTCCTCTTTGATGTGTCTTTGGCTTGTTTTACACCCAACAGCAATAATTCCACTGCTCTACAATTTTTTTTTTTTTTTTTTTTGGGGGGGGGGGGGGGGGGGGGGGAAGCTCTCAAAAAAGAACCCAAATCAATTTGATCAAGATCCCAAACACAGTTACAATACAATCTCACTGAACAGATCTACAGAGACTTGCTTTCAAGAGAACATGATGGCTAGACCTGGTCCCAATTAGTATTCCCTAATTCGCTGTGTGGCACATGAGTTGTGTACAACATGAGCACAAACGACAGAGATACACCACCTAGAAGGTCGACCTCAAAAGCACTGTTCTCCCCTTATATGCTTTCAGATCACATAGTCAAACCAGTGAAAGAAGCCAAGGGTGAATGAGCTCTCTCTCTCTCTCTCTCTCTCTCTCTCTCTACCTATCTCTATATGGAGAGTATGTGAAAATGGAACATGTACAAACAAATGCGGAAACTCAGATTCCAACCATTTATGTAGCTCTCTCTCTCTCTCTCTCTCTCTCTAGCTTTCAACTTCACAACAAAACGATCATTTCACTAACAGGACAGAAGAGACGACTCACTCGTATAGATTGCTTTTGCTTTTCCTTTGGCAGAAACAAGTCCACAATCTTCTTCTCCCATAAACATCAAAATCTCTACCTAAATTAGCACTCATAAACCCCAAAGCAAACGTGTAGTCCTTCTCATATCACAAATCAACCTCTACTCCTGCAAAATTCCAAAAGAAAAGAAAACAAAATCATCACCAAAACATTATAATCATCGTACATAGACATAATACATTGAAAATAATGGACTCAAATCATCATTACACAAACATAAACACATTGAAATACTAATAGCTAACAAATAACGATTCATAACAGATTTGAAGAGAAGATTAAAACTTACATACAAACATAACAACACAAACATTACATATATTCATACACAGAATCAGAAGCATAGACGATCGAGGAACCTCGCAGTGATAGTAGTGTTTTTCTGGTGTGGAGTGCGTGATTTAGGATATTTTCTGGTCTTCCTTCTGTCTCTATATCGTTATCTTTTTGCTCCGATTTCATATCAGAACAGCATACAAACACGCCAAACAGATACGGATATTAAATGTGCCTGTCTCTCTCTCTCTCTCTCTCTGTGTCTGTGTGTGCGAAAGAGAGAGAGAGAGAGAGAGAGTTAGATTAAAGATCCAAAATAAGCAATAAACAAGGGAGTGGGGGTGGGGGTGGGGTGCGTGTGCGGGTGAGGGTTGGTTTTCAAGCCGGCTCAATCCAAATCGACGCAATAACACCAATACATGAATACTAAAAGATAATAATTATTAAATAGAAGTAACATACCGACCCTTTTTTTTTTAAATGAGAGAGGCAAATTCATTAATTTGTAAAAAGATTGAACGGATTAATAAATAATGGATAAAAGTTGCGGTTCCAAATTTTAACTTATATTTTTGGTAATTAAAATTGATATGTAAGGAAGTCACTCAACGTATTCGTCATGGAGCAATCATCTTTTAACACTATACAACTATTTATAGATAAGATTGTGCAATGAATTTAAAAAATGAGTCGAGCATATGTCGAATTCGAGTAGTTCGATTATTTTATATATAAACGAGCTAAACTTTATATGTTCGAACCGAGTTTTTTTAGGTTTATTTGTTAAATGAGTTTAAAAATATTGTTTAAATTTGACTCGTTTAAGCTCAAGTCAAGTCTTTTTTTAACCGAGTTTGAGTAATTTTTAACTCAATTATCAATCGTATTTACAAGACATCTCATTGTACTTACGTCGGACTGAAACTAAAGTCTCATCACATATTATAAGTGTTAAAAAGTATGTTTAATCTTACCAAATTATCATAATTATGAAAATTCAAATTCAAAAATTAAACCCAAAAAAAAATCTAATTATCACCTATTGAACCAATCACTCCATGGTATCCTAACTTACATTTGTCACCCTGAGTCTGTGAATTGTGACTCCACGTGCTGGGATAAATCCTATGCATTTACATACAACACAAGAGTCTGAGCAGGTGGACAGTGAATGGCACTAACTCTCTCTCTCTCTCTCTCTCTCTCTCTCTCTCTCTCTAGTCTGTACTTTTTTGCTGCAGATTTTACTGTGTGGTTTGCGAAAATGGCCGACGAGGTCTACTTTACATAAATGCCCACACGAAGAAACCAATTTTTCGGATCTGACATTTTCTTTGCCATGTTAAAGATTAGTTTTTGAGTTTTGAAAATCCGCAGGCGCGCAGCGCTGAATAAAGGTTAGATTTGGCTTTAGGGCTTGTCTTTAGTGCTATAGCCACCCAGGTTCATGTTAGATTGGGCGGCGCACAAAATTTTGAATGAACACAAAACCCTTACTCATATTTTAAATTTTAAGAATCACTTTTCTAATATGTGGGCCCCGGACCCATGAATGGTATGCATTGATCTTTGTCTTCATGGTTCTTTAATAAATTTTGTCACTTCTATAGGATAAATCTAATAGCAATGATGAAAAAATGAACTTTAGCTATGATGTTTTTCATCATAGTTTTGTGAAATTTTAAATGAAGATGACAATGATTCTAACATCAAGATGACCTTTAAGGTTGTGGGAAAAAAGTTTCATAATTCTTAATTAGTTGGGTTTATGAAAAGAATCAAACAACTCACCCTTTTTCTTACAAGTATTATTGATTAGTTATGCTGAAGTAATATGCATTTTTATTTTATCATACACAATAATTACTTCAGTAGACTTGATTTGCATCAATTTTCACAAATTTCTTATATAATTTTAACAAATATATTTGATGATCTACAAAAATAGATTTATACACCACCTGTCGAGTAATCAATATAAGTAATAAGTGCAGTAAATATAAAAATGAGATCAACACAGATATAGAGTGGTTCGGTTAGGGTGACATACTCCATTTTGAAGGCGACCACGGTGATAAGAGAATTTTATTGATAAAGTAGTAAGAGAGAGAACAAGGATAAATTCTATGTGAGGTTAGGTAGCTATGTGAGATATGTAGAGATGTATAGGCATAAAGCCTTAGTTAAAGCGATGGCGTGAAGAATAGGTGACTAATCTATCGAAAAGGATAGCTACAGTTGGGGATGGGCAGTACCTTGAAGTAATAGTTATTCCGATAATTGCTCATGTGTTGACTCTTTTTGGACTCTTGAGCTAAGTCTGGTCCGCCTTTTGATGGTTCAAGCTCAACCCATAATCTGGGCACATGCTTGATCGAAATTTGAACTCATCAATATTCATATGCAATTGAAGAAATATAGGCGAAACAAGCAAACAACCATTAACAATCATTATTCTCTTCTTCTTTTTTTTGTTGCTTTAATGGTCGGGATGTTCAGACCAGTTGATGTGTACCTCGACTAATCTTTTTGAGTACAACTATTCCCACATCACAAATCTCTGTTCTCACCCGATTAAACTATAAATCATAAAACTACTAAATTTATCTTTTTTTATATCTCACTCCACTAATTATTAAATCCACCTCATTCTATACGCACCTCATTAACAACAAAAATTATTTCAATCCTCACTTTTTAGGGTTTTTTTTCTATACCCATCTAACATAGTTTATACACAAAATATATTCAACCAAATTCTACTCTAAGCTTCTTTCATGTAAATTACTTCAACTGTTACTGTCCTATGTTTATCTTCTTTGTTCTCATCGTCGGAATAATACTCCTATTCTACTATGCGTTTCTCTAGCTTCCTTTTTTCAATGCTGATTGAAGGAATTCGTAGAGAAAAAGCACTTCTTTACACACAATTTCTTAATATATAGAAGCAAATCTCTTGGAGTCTTTGTTGGAAGTAGCATTTAAAGCTAAGTTCCTTGAAAAGGAAAAGAAAACGATCATCACGTCTCCCTACTCGAATTATACAGTTTATACATAATTATTTGTTTAGTTTTAATAAATGGTTTAGTTGAATATATTTTGTACAAACTATATGAGATGAGGTATACAAAAAAACCTTAAAAGTAAAAATTGAGATAAATTTAGCTATTTAATATGGTGGGTATAGATGGGATGAACTTAATAATTTTATCATTTATAGTTTAATGGAGTGGGAAAGGAGATTTGTAGGGTGGAAATAGCTCCACCCAATTCTCTTCCCGATACGGTTAAAGATTAGAGTATCATGAGTGATAAATCTCTTATGACCTAATCCTAAAGAGTTGTCAAAATTAAAATTTAAAACGTTTGAATTTAAGCTCATCTATGTTACCATTTTAACTACCCCTTTACAATATTCATGAGGGATAAATCACTATTCTTTCTTTTCGTGGACAACAACAATCACATACCTTGTCATCATATGATGCCATGCATCTCAAATAATGTGGCACTACATCATATAAAATCCAAATTTTTATATCACCTTCTTTCTCTTGGACCCAATACTGACATGGTGGTTTTATGTTGAAATTGGATGGCGAAATTCAAATTCAAGTGACAAAAGTGGTGGTGACGTCAATGTTCATGGTATGGATTTAGAAAAATGAGAGGAAAGACATTAGGATTTTGCACGGGATAATTCCTGTAATAGTTTGAGACAACGATCTCCAAGCTGGTGAATCTGAAATAACAGGGTCAGAAAAAAGGGGGTCAGGTGAACACCTAACTTATCCCCTCTGAAACTTAAATCAGTCCAAGGTCGAAGGGTTTAGCTCAATGAACAATCTTTTTCTGGTTCAAGTTTGCGTACCTTTGTCTATTTTTCTGAGGGGTATTTATACCTGAATTAACAATGATTATTAAAGGTCTCCAATCTCATCTGGACATCTAACATCTGACACACCATTCCTCGCGCAATGAGTGTTTTCTATTTACGTCTCCTCCTATTAAATGCTAGGACGATGGAATGAGCGCTCAGCTAAATGCCGAGCATTTTTGCCTTTCCCCGAGTACCCAAATCCCTCATATCGACATCTGACATCAACTGAGCATTAAATACTCAGGGGAACAGTTCCTCGGGGGGGTCGATCGCGTTGTCTCGACACATCAGCCATTAATGCTTAGCCATCATGATCGTAGGCCTAGACACCCAGAGTGCAGGTGCTTGCAGGCGCACATTTATTTGCCTTGTCACCATCACTTACTCTGCCATAAATGAGGGGTCACGTCATATTAAATACGATGCCAACAGTCGTACTCGACTGGTCCGGGTCACCATACCTCGGCTTACCTCCTAGGCGCCCTTTGGACATCCCATCAGCTTCATTACTCCACATGTCAACTTGGGGGCTGTAGAGCCACCTAGAGTCCCGCCAACTGCCCCCCAGCTGCAATCCTTTTCGTAGTGTAAGACAAGTGGCGTAAAGAGATTGGAGGCTCAATCATCACCACGCCTTACTAATAGCGACGGTTACTTTCATGTCTGATGTTGCCCTTTTCAAATACCCTAACGATGGCCTAAATTTTTGATTCCCGCTCCCTGTAAGGCAGTATAAATAGCAGGTATTCATGCCTCTGAACTTTTGCATCCTCAGCCTCTCTTCGGCAATCATACCCTGAGCACTTCTTTGTTCTCCTCCAAGTTTTCTTCGTCCTCCGAGCTTCCTTTTTGAAGATCACC